ATGAGTGCTGAGGCTAGCACTTCGACAGCCTCTACAAGCGGAGCTTCAGCCGGTGGATCTGACTATTCAAGCTCAGATGATGAATTTGAAAAATACTGTTATTCATTTAGTCTTGAGCAAGTGATGTTGATCAAAAGACTTGCAAAAGCTGAGGCTCAATTCCCCAAACTATCCAAGAAAACCAATGATAAACGTCATCAGCATGCTGCTCAAAAAAAAGTGGTTGATGAGTTGCAGGATATACTCGATGGCTTATATGGAGCTATGCATTGGGGGTTGGAGATTTCCGAGCTTGCCGAGCTTGAAGCTGAACTTCTAAAACAGCGTGAAATTCTTGAAAAAATTGAAGAGGAGTTGAGCGTATGCTCTATCAACTCTGCGAATAAGATTGACGAAACTAGCCATTTGCATGAAAAACTTAAAAAACAACCTTTGATCGGATCATCATCAATTGCTGGTGATGGCTTCCTAGACCTGAGAACAGTTTCTGGATATAATGATTGTTATCATTATTTCTACAATCGTTTTTTGCAATGATTGTTATAATCTGGATATGGTACAACTTTTCAAGATTATGATGTTTGGCAACAAACTCTTCAACCAAACCCATCACATTGTTGGAGTTTAATGAACCATCACAGTCCCATCCAGTATATACTGTAATGCAGCGTGTATTGCATGGTGGTTTAACTGTCATGTGTCATGCATTCAATGTCATTCATTTAATAAACATCGTGTATTGTCAAACAATAGTGTATTATACTAATGGTTTGATCATATTGCACCAATCAACTACTATGTGCTGTCATGACTAATCATTTGGTGTGCTACACATATTGGATGCATGCAAATCCATGACTGTCAACTCCTTGTTGTTGAAATGGGTTCAGATCACCATCAGCTCACTCACTCGTTACACCGATATGACTGCATGATCAATCTGACACCAACCAAACCACACTCGAATATATATGTTCCAGTCATGTGCATGGTGTATCGATTGTCAACTCACAATGTCAACTCCAACGCATTCCACCATGATTATGGTCACATCACACCATGCTGATGTATGTCGATCGGTATCACATTGCAACCAGTTATCATCCAATGACTGCAATGCAATACCGTGCATGTATTGTGACTGATACGCTGTGCACCATCAGCAAGTGTGCAACTGTCACTTGATATATCGAGTCTGATATGCAACAACATGCTGTGTTTACCATGATCAGGTTTTTGATCAATCTTGGACTCACAATACATGATTTGTCATGTTGGATCGTGTGGATGTGTCATGGACTGCAATTTAGTTGCAGATACACATATGTTTGACATTGACTGATGCATACTGTGCAACGACTGATCAGTGCGGGTGTAATCACACACTTGGTGGTATTGTGCATTATGATTGTTTGACAATGTATGAATGCTGGATTAGTCGGTTATATGCAACCCATTTGAATCGACCTATTTGAACAATCACTCGATGTAACTGACAACAATGTGTATACATGGCTGTTGGATCAGTCGAGTTTTTGATGGTAGCGTACCATTGGTAACAAACAACCCTGACACCATCATCAGCACAGTCATACAACAGTTGACCAATACACTTGTAACACCACCAGCATATGCTCGTATGGATATGGCATGTTCACATGAGTTCATTTCATGTCTTGGCATTCGTTTAAATAAAACTTGTTCAAAAGTAAATCATGACCATAGCAGGATTACGATTGTAATAGTACACCAAAGTTGTATCCTGCAGCTATTAACAATGTATTACAATCAAACGTTGCATAGAAACCTCCACTTTGATCATGGTTTGGAACTGTAAACTGCCTGTTTGGTTTATGTTAATGTACAGATTCTACAAATGGTATGCCAAAAATCATGTCAAAATCAAAATCACCAAACAGTATCGTTAGATCAGCCGAGTGATGTCATGTATTCAATCGAGATGGATTGCAGTTCAACAAACTGGTTGCAGTGTACAAGACACGAACAATAAATGATTCTGTCATCCAAATCAGCACTAAACAATCTACCAATACTTTGAATAAACATCAATAAAAACATACTCTTGTGTGGTTGAATGAAATGTACACATCAAATACTTGATCCACATTGATGGTGACAGTTACGCATTTTTTTGACTTTATTCTCACTTGGTCCCTATTGTTCGTATTGTTCCTACTATCCCTATGTTGCTAGCCGCAAGGGTTTTGAAAGACACAATGTCGCCCTTTAGACTTGGTAGAAACTGGCATCAGTCATACTATGAGACTGATTGCTTGTTGTGTGCTTGAACTCCCTTGTTTGGTGCTCCATCTTACATGAGTACAGTTGTAAAAATAGCCTTTAGTTTTGGCCCTTTAATCAATCCATGTTGTATAAATATCAAAACAAACTGCCAAAACTATCCAGTATTTCGACACTATCGGAATAAATTGCTGCTCGTCTGTATTGTTCATCTGGATAGTTTACAATGAAACAAGCTGTGATTTTTGTGATTTCGCTGTTGACAGCCATGTCGTCGGCTATAGTCGTATCGACTTCTGAAAGTCCAGCTCCCACATTCGAACCATCACCATCAACATCAACTCCAGACCCAGACCCATTATTTCAGTCTCATAGTGATACTTATGCCGCTAATCTGTTTTTGCACTACAATACACTTTTGGAACAATACAATTTGAAAACTGCTGAATGCGAAGTTTTAAAACAGGATTGCGAAAAACTCGGCAACATCGCACAGGCACAAACGCTTACACATACTCTGACTCTAGATAAATGCACTCGTGATAGAGACTCGTCAAAAAAAATGCGATTAAAGGCCATCTCCAACTGTATGAAAGAAAATTTAAAAAAGGCTGAAGATGTATATATTAAATCTCTCGTGAAAAAAATCCATATATGTGATGAAGCTAGTCAACTCAAATCAAAAGTAAGCGAGGTCAAGATTCAGAACCAAATCCTGCTATCCAATAATCGACAATAGCTTGATTAAATATCAGGCTGCTACCAATCTGCATACAATTGAAACAATAAAGTTTAGAATCATGATATATGCATATTGTTTGTAGGTGCACATTGTACAACAGTGAATGCAATGGATTGTCATTGACTGTTTTGAACCATTTTGTCAACAAATGCAACTGCTTATGACATGCAATAGATTTGGATAATATACCAACAAAAAATCAACATAAACTGGTTTACCGAGTATGTTGTATACAACAATTGCTTTTATACATGTTTGATATGGATCATTCAGCTGGGACCATTGCATTGTTAATAATCGACTACAGACTCACGGACGTGTATTTTAAGCTAGTTTATATCATAATTATGACAGGATGTGTGATGAGATGATGCAGTGGACATATATACAACGTGTATTACAGTAAAAACATGGACTGATTGTTTGGACATGTATGAAGCAGAGCTGTTGTAACATCCAAACAACTATACTAAACATGTTGAAAAGCATCAAATGGCAGTAGGTTGATCACCAAAAAGCAATACTACAAGTCTGAAATGCAACATGATGACTATTTATCAATGTAATATTGATTGTCTGGTATTTACACTGGAAATCAATATCAAGTGGGTTCCAATTACAATTTTACTGATCATGATGGATAATGATGGCAAATGTTTGGCAAGTCAAAGATATGGACATGTGGATGTGGATGCTAATCACCATTGAATCAAACCACTGCATGTTTTGTTGCACAGTAAATACTATATTGAACAAGTTCAAGTACAAGTACAAGTGTTTGTAATGCTACTGAGGCTGGTGATGAGTTACACTTGTGATTGAAACCTGATTGGTAGTCAACATGTCATGTGTCAATACGACATGTTGAGCAATATCATATCGACACAATACACACATGCATGTCAGCATCATCAATGTGTACAACTGTGCAATATACAATCAACTGTATTGTATTGGAAATACAAGTGTCAATGTACAATATGATACCATGTCAACCAAGACTGTGGAATGATCAGATATAATGCATGTAAACCCAAATTTATTGTAAATTAAATCAGAAATACAATTGAATCGGTTGAAACCAGTCCAGATTAGCATTCAAATCAAACGGATGATTCATCATCTGATTCATCTGAATCGTTAGGATTAGGCGAATCCAAAAATGATTTGAGCTCATTCTTAGATTTGGGAGTGTCATATACACGAGAAGATTTGGGACTTCCCCACAAACCAAAAAGTCGAGAATTGGATCTGGAAGTCCTTTGTGTGCTGGACAAAGCTGCCTGTGTACTGGATGATGTTTGAATGGGCTGAACTGAAACTGTAGACGTTTTGCTTGATGATGATGAACTTTTATGATGTTTTGATTGGTTCTGGGTTCCACTAGTAGATGGTTGCTCGGATCCCGGCTGTTGGCTTGGTGTGGAATTGCCAAATGTACTGACGAGTTCCAAAAACTTGGGATCTGATTCCAAAAATATCGTGTAATATTCGAATGGTTGATTCATATTTCCCTTGAACAAGCACTCTAGAAGTTGTGATTTGATTTTACCTAATATCCAATTAAGATTTAAAAAACCGGAACTATGCTGCTTTATTTCAAGTTCATCAAGAGTTTTTCGTTCTTGTTTAAGTTTCTGTTCAAGTTCGTTGAGCTTTTCGCTGTGCTTTGAATGACCCTCGCTAGTCTGAAATTTACGTAGCAACTGTTCATATTCTTCATCCAGCCAGTCTAACAATTTTTTTTGAGCAAGTGCTTTAGGTTGTATCAAGTCATACGTTTCCTTTGCATTGTCACGACTTTTCTTCATCTTTGCGTATTCTTTGATCAGATTCATATCCTCATCTGAAAGTCTACTAAGATCAATTGAAGGTGTAGTTTGTGCACTGGGAGTGACGGTTGAAGTGCTAGCTTCAGCACTTGTAGTTGCACTGGGATTGACTGGGATGGCTGTAGTAACCGAGCAAGCAAACAGGATTGATGCCAATATTGTGACTGCGAGTTTCATTGTATTGGTTTGGTTGAGCAGGTTGTATATGGTTACTGAACAAGTAATATTGGATCGTATTTATATCGGCTATTGGATGGATAATATTAAAAGCATATTGGATGGCCGCTTTAGGGATTGGCTTTATTATCAGGGTTGGTGATGATTTGCTACCAATGTCAACCTTTGAAGGAATATCCATTTATATAACAACCGCAATCTTGATCAAACTACTGCTTGACTATGCATCCATGTATGGTTGATTGTGTACTACACCCTTATCCACCCTAAAAGGGTCAGTGAGCTGAAATATGAACAAATGCATGTTTAAACAAGATTATATGCAACTGAGCTGATATTCAGTTGTTGAATGGTCATCAATATGTGTTGTGGTTTAGTGATACTTTACATTCAACTCGACACGATCAATCATCACTACACATTGTCCAGTAATTCAATCAATCAACTGAATCAATACAATGCAGTTCATGTTGCAACCACAATGTCATATTGATGATCAATGACTTGCAACTGTTGTGTTGGCATTGCATGTTGTGTTGCTATATCAATATCGATTGTCACTATATAGTTGTATCAACCACACATCATGATCATATGTCATGGTTGATTCGTATTCTGGATTGATGCACTCATTCCACTCCACTCCATTGTATTCCATTGCATCACTCGAACACAAACATCGTATGACTTGTTGATTGCTAATACCCATATTGATCGAATACACACTACATGACACATGTCAGGTTAGCGTATACATTCCAATATATAGCACATCATGTTGCTGATATCACGCATTGTGATTCAACAGTCAATCTGTATTCGAGTTCAACTACAATTGATCGTGTCAATCATAATATACGCGACCAATTGTAGTCGAGTTGATCCGACTGAATAGAGTCCGAGTCATCATGTTCATATCAAACTATTGCAAACCATTGTAAACCATGACAAGTCTATTGCACAATTCCACTCGTGTTGATTACAACATGCTATTCATAAATGTATCATATTGTCCTGTAATAACTGTACATGGTTGTACATGGTTGTTTGAAACCAGTAACTCCGTTGATTGATATCCACAATATGATCCAGTAGTCGTCCAGATTGTGTGTTGTATTTGGTGTGTTGGGTGATGATATCAACCTGTAGTCAAGGTTTGACTATCTGGACATGTCGGTGACTTTTTACCCACTGTGTGCAACTCGATGTCCAATATCGAGTCATGTCATTGGTCAATTGATTGATTCAATTCATCAGTGGGTTTGCTGGATTCATGTGGTGTGCAGCACTTTCAAGAGTATGTTGAATCTGTTGCAGTATTGTAACTTTGTAAACGGATCAACATACTAACCTGAGCATGACTGTGATGGTTATTGCAGTCGAATCGTAAAGCTTATTCTGGCAATCATTGATGGTTTGAACAATCGTTTGAATAATCGTTTGGATGTCAGGTTACGGTATCCTGATTGACAACTCGACTCGGATACAACTTATTTGGACAATTACTGATCAATGAATTGATCAATGAACTAGCAATCAATCAACACATTGACAGATTTGTCATTCCAAATGGAAACAACGACAATCCAGTTGTAATCCATATTGAGCCTTGAATTCAAACAGTCATGAATCAAATCATTAATAAACTACAAAAACAGTCCAATATGCCAACTCGCATTTATCCACAACTCGATATGTGATGTTCAAATGTCTAATATTCAGACTGTGCTGATTGCAATTGTGGTTGTAATTGTGGTTGTGTGTAAATATCAATCCAATACTCGATTCAATACTTGATTCAACTTGAGCATGTCCAGTTTTGTAGTAATCCATTTGATCACATTGACAGAATCAAGCAATGATCTGATTCAACAACACCGAATGATGCATCCATATCACTTGTATCAATCAATTTTACACAATCAGTCAATATAATCAACAATCACTGTCATGATTGATTCAATTCATTCAATTTATTCGATCCATTTAATTGCATAGATCCGACTGGCATTGCAACTCATTGTTGTAAAATCACAACCTCACAATCACCAATCACTATACGCCCGCTCATATAGTTTTTTGTTGTATGCTGTTGTGATTTGAGTTCGGTCACTTGTCAATTCATCTCGATAGTGTTTGGCTTTAGTTGGTGATTGAACACCTTGAATATACTGCGTGGCATCATTCCACAGTTCAGGCAGTATGGGTGTCTTGTCAAGACTCGAGTTGTACCATTGTGGTTGTTGTGGAGCCACATGCGCAGTCGAAACAATCCGACATGCTGGATTCACTACAAAAAATGTCAGAATCTTGCAGTGTCCTGGTTGAGTTGGATCTGCAAGTTCAAATGATTGTTCTTTGTGTTGGTATCGATTGGGATAAACTACACATCGACCATTTGGTAATTCAAGCAATCCTATATACTGATTGCGTCGTGATTCTCGATTAATAATGCCGTACACATCTTTCCAATACATATCAGATGCTACTTGATAAAAACGATCAACAGCCTCGCGGAAATCGAGTTTGGGTGTGGTGATATTTTCCACGTCGTAGTAATACAGTCCAGTTGCAACAATCGATTCGTTAATTGGACCTTCATTGTGCCAGTTTCCCTCGTCGTATTTAGGTTTGGATGGTGTCAGTTGAATGTTGGTGAGTTTGACAATGACTTGTAGATTACGACCACGCAGTGATACTGGCTCTGCTGATTCATAATTGGATTCAAAATGTTCCGGAAGTATTGGTACATACACGGGACGAATGACTCGAGTGTCTGATTCCATACCACCATAGTCTGACTGGCTTGGTGATTCATATCCATTTATGCCATTACGAAGATCAATATATTTGAACATTGGATCCATCGTTCTGAACAGACTTTCAAACATTGGGACAAAACATTTGAATATTTTGGCAATGCATTTGTACATGTCTCGATGCCATATCGGATTCAGATTGTTGATGTATGAGTTGATGGTCACACTGCCATCCTGTTCGACACGGAATTCACTCGGAAGACATTGGAACTTGAGTGATATAAACTTGGAATCGCCTTCAATGATGGGCGTATCTGAAACAAGTCGAGTCGATAGCAATATATCGCATGGTACCATTGTGGTGTATTTGAGTCGTATATTCAGTGGTGCAATCATCGTTTGTCCATATACAACACTGTACATTGATGCATCAATCAGATTGTGCACCATTTGATCAGTGTTGTGATTTGATCCATGTTCAATATCCGATACATTTGTCATCAATCGCGTATATACATTGTCAGGTATGCCATTGTCCAGTATATACGTCAGTTCAACAGGTCCTGGTACAATTGTACCAAATCCATCACTGCCACTACAAACAAGCTGTTTGACAAAAAACTCGAGTTGTTCCAATGCAAGATTAAATGTTGATGGTGATATATTCTGACCGAGTGAGTCGGCCCTCCATTGCTCCACAATATGCTGGTTTGTGATATCGATCCACCACATGGGTTTGCAAAGTATACATTGCAGATACCGGATATACCGCATTTCAACAAGTGTGCGTGCCTTTCCATGTGTATATCCGGCCATTCCAGAACTCATATCAATTTTGGCGTTGTCCTTGTATGGCTGAATGCTCGAACTAGCAGTCTGAACCCGATGCTGGAAATACGTTCCAATGGTCTGAGCAGCAGCCCTTTTGTTCATGTAGTGAGTAGTATCCGATTTTACAATGACCATTAAACTTTCAAACATCCCGCCTTGTTCCAACTCGGTACGTATTGAACTGTCGGGATGATTGTCGGCAAAATCAGCAAATGCTTTGAGTAGTTTTACAATACTAGTGTTACTACCATTATAGTCACACAAATCTACATCTGTACGCGAAATAATAGTGTTGAGTTGCTGCATAATTCCATATTCTTGAAACGCCTTGATCATCTCGGCCTTGTTTGTAGATTTCTGAATCATGTTGTTGACATTATTAAACAGGTACAAAGAGTCACACATACGAAGATTGCACATCGATATCGTCAATTGCTCAAAAACCAACGATCGTACAAGCGATACAGGAAAGTCGCGCATTTGGGATGCAACTGATCCCGCCATGCTGATTATGCGTGTTTTTAGTTCAGAGTCGTTGCTGTATCTGATATACAAGTCGTTAAGCGTTTGAATCAAACCCGATCTTATAAACTCGGCTGAAATCACTTCACAATTTACATAGTTGCAAAAATTATGGATAATTTCAATACTTTGATCAATCACTGCTTGATCGACACTCCTGTATTCATGTCATGTCAATCCAACCATGTCAAATTTACCAATTGTGATGACTGGACACACATTCATGCATAACACCACATACCTGAGCGTATTGACCATTGCTGGAATGATGCCACATTCCACTGCTTTTACTGGGTCATGACGATGAATATTCAGATACATGGTTTTAAGATTTTCGATAAAACCAACAGCAACTGAACCATCGGATGATTCCAGTCGTGAAACAAATCCTGATACCACGATATTAAGCTAATGATATTGTTCAATGTCAAGTATACAATCAGATCAACATGACATGACATGACGCTGTCCAAACTGATCCAATATTGTATCATTGCAAACATACATTTTCATCGTCAATATATCTGCAAACGGTCGAGAACAGGTCAATTGCCAATGTGAACACTTCTTGATCCGACTCGTGAACAATAATCTCAACCATTGGCTTAAAATCAAATTTACACTCTTCACTCCAGAATTTATAACTGAACTTTATACATGTTTTTATCGCCTATATGCATATTGACACTAAATGAGTTGAATGTCAATCATTTGATCAATATCAATCATGACTTGCCATCATTTTGACTTGACGGTTTGATGATTGCATGAGTTGTACAATTTGGTTGCTTAGTCGATGTGATATTTTGAACTCGTGATTATAGTATACCATATTCGCAAATACTGCAGCAAACTCCATTACTTTGATCTACACAACACATGTTGATT